TTGTCGACACTCAAAGCGGTGTATACTGTCCAACTTCTAGTAAAATAGATTGGCTTAAATTCAGAAAGTATGTTTGTACTATATTGATTGCTGCCCAAGAATAAATTGACAGCTCAGTAGACGCGTTAGTGTCAGTTATGGCACTGGCTGCTCAACACTCCACTCCAATTATAACTGGCTCGCGGCAACGAAGGTCAACTGAAATCGGAAGGTGAATGTCTCTGTGGAAACCGGAGTTTCACTTGTTTTTCGAGCTGCACCGCAGAAACATTGGCTAACTATCGCATTAATTAGTCGGTCAAAGTACTGGAAAGTTTTTGGAACGGCAAAACCTTAAGGACCATGGTGTAAGGTGGATAGATCTCTGTGGAAATACGTTATTAAGCGACTTATTACCGCATTAGTAGCCTTTAATATGTGCCTGATTCCATTGGTACATTTAAAGCTTAGCTAATTCTACTCCGACATGTGAACGGCACGAACAGCTGTTCTGCGCTTGTTCACTTTTGAATTGTCGCAAGACAAAATTAAAAATCATGAATATTAGCGTTTTACGAAAATCTTGAATGCTCAGAAGGACATCCATAATGCCATCGAGGCATTTGCAAACTTGTGGGACAAGGAGAGGGAGCTGATGGTGTTGTTTGACGGGTTTGCAAAGAAGACCACCACTGTTTCTGAAAAACAACATGGATCCTCACATAAGTGGGAGTTTTTTGCTGCGCGTGCTCTTGTTTTTAGTCATTTTTATGCAAAATAGATATTATATTCCAGAAAAATCAAAAATTTCGCCATCCTTGCATATAAGAACCAGCTGTTCTAGAGGTGGTCGTTAAGTATCGGCAGTTTTCGGTATTGTTTTCTAAAAACGTTCGTGTCAAATTCTTTGTAGTCGCCTTATGGGTTTCCCTGCGTAAATAAATGATCATTAGGCTAGGTTGTTTAAATGCGCCAATGAAATCCGTTTGACAATAACACCAGCGACAATAACATTTCCTTTAAAATTATAAATATATTATAATCAGCTGATATGCGGAGATGGAAGCTGGATGTGCTCTGTGGAAATTGGAGTTTCACATTTGTCAAAATTTCCAATCGTTTCCAACAGATGGACTGGGTGGAAAGAGGGCATAGAGAGGTTTTGTTCCTCGTTGTCAACATAATTCCTAAGTCAAGGGCTGGTTACACTTAGGCTGCTTCATTGCATCATTCCGTCTGCGGCTAGATGCAGTATTTTAACTTAGGTTTTGTAAAGGCAGATAGAGATAAGGAACAAGTGTGTAGAGTGCATAAGTTTTAAAATTTTTGTGTTTTACCGATATTTACTCGATATAAGGTATATCGATATACTGTCGTGGGGAACTGTCACCACAAATGACCGAAAACTACAGCAAAAATAGCCGGTAATAAAAAGAGGAAGCATTTTCCTTGACAAATCAAAATAAAGAAATTCTCTTCAGATGCAATGACGCACGTAGGTTAAGAGTAACATCTGTGATGGCCCACCGCAAAATCAATATCAAACAAAAACCAGAAACAAAGCCATATATAGAATGGTCTTTTATTTCGAAAGCTCGCATAACTTTTTAAATGCGCGCCCAAAGCGTACGAACACTGGTCACACTTATGCGGCAGAGATACCGATAGTCGATAGTTATCGACAGAACCGTGACCCGATAACAAGTTATTGAAGCTAGATTATCACCATTGTTTTCCCTAATCACACTAAACTGCGACTATGTAAGCAGAGGCCCATTAAGAACTACCGCTTGACTACGGATAAAGATACGCTGCCGTCTGACGAGGAGGCTGAAAATTCGCGTTCGGAAACTCTGTGGGCTGATTTCCTTAGCGACGTTGGTTCTGAGAGTCAAAACAACCAGGAAACCGTTCATAAGCCAAACATCGCGGTGGATAAAAATGCCGGAATATGTCTTAAAAATCTGATGGATGTACAAAAAACTAAAAACTTTACCATTGCAAAGAAAAATAGTTCTTTACCTGGTTCAAAATCAAGGCTCGAGGCAAAGAAACGACCGTTACATCAGAGTGGTGCCGGCTCTCTTATAACTAAACTGGAAAGAAAAAGAAAATTTGAGCTCCTCCCAGAAATCACTTTTGCGACTCCCGACTGTAACCGGCAGGTCGAAACTAACGATGCCCGGAAGGTCGAAACTAGCGATTCCCTACCCACCCGAATCCCACCGAAAATCCAAGTAGATCGTTCATCTCAACGACTCAGAACACTGCATACCCAACGTACTCGACCGATGGACGCAAGCACTACACTACTCGGCCCTTCCTTGGCGCCGACGCGTCGAATCAAGCAGTAAACAACTTGGCGCCCGCACGACGAAGCAAGCAGTACTCCGCTCGGACCTCCCGCAGCACGGACGCGACGAAACAAGCAGTACGTGGCTCGGCCCGTCCGCAGCCCCGACGCCGCAGTAGCGCCCAATCATCGAAATTACCGATTATAAATGAGTTTTATCCAACCGTAGTACATATAATCATATTTTATAGCGATCTTTCCCAGAACCATTATTGGGGACTACCTTCCTGTCCCGATCTATAGAGGAAATAAATTTATGTCTTGAACCCTGCCGCAACAGGGTCGTTAGACAGCCTATTCTGCTTCATTGCGTCTATTCCGATATAGATATGAGACGTGCGTGAGTATAACTAGGCTACAAGGCTAGGAAAAAAATAAAAGCACGAAAAGTACATCAAAAAGAGTATGATAGAGATAAAGACCCCCCTTAGGAAATCTGCATACACTACTGTGACTTTTGATGAATTGTGGATGGTGGTGTGAAGATTGTTTCGTTTCGGCTTCACAAAATAACTGCTTCATGGAGAAAAATATTTATTCCTCGTTATTTATCTAATAGCCGGATTCAATTGGCGCATTAAAACGCATTTAGCCTAATGCGCATTTATTAACACAGGGTTACCCCTGCGATTAAAAATCGTTCGCCCCATTACAACAGCCGGTTTTTATTTGCAAGGATGGCGCCATTTTTGATGTCTTTTGATTATGAAATCTAGTTTGCATAAAAATGACTAAAAATAAGAGCACACCCAGCAAATCCTGGTCGCAGTACCACAAAACAGTACTGCTGGACCTCTTGCAGGAAATAACTCCCACATATATGAAGATCCGTGCTCTTTTTTAGAAACTGTGATGCTCTCCTTTGCAAACCCGTCAAACAAGACCATCAGCTCCCCTTCCTTGTCGTCCAAGTCGGCAAATGCCCCGGTCGCATTATGAATGTGCTGCTGAGCATTATTTCATTTCGTTTAGATTTACGACAATTTAAACCCAGATGAGCGCTAATGCGCCAATGGAATCAGGGCCATTTAAAACAACCACTAATGCGGCAATGGAATGGCGCTATTATAGCATCTCGTTTATTTCTTGGCGTAAGCAAGCAAATCAAGCAAGCCTCTTACCACAGTCCCACCAAGCGAAACGGCTGGGATCTTTTGATGGTTGATAGACTGGTTTTCCCACAGAGTTTAATAGACTATATCCACAGGTGGAAGGTGAATGTGCTCTGTGGAAATCGAATTTTCATATATGTTGAAAATTCCATCAGTGTCCAACGCATAAACCGTGTGGAATAAGGGCATAAATGGTTAATTGTTATCTGAACTTTTAAATTATGACTTATATCTACTCTGTATTCAAACTGTTGCCAGGGGAGCGTTAACGCCGTTGGCTCTCAGAAACAAAGATGGCCGCCATAACTATTAAAATTCTTTGGCGCCAAGACTTTGGAGTTGCACCCAAAAAACATCGTCTAGATGTCGACTAGGAACGTGCGGAAATACCTTAATTCCGCTGTCAAGGAATAACCGGGAAATATTTAGCACAGAAAAACCTTACGGACCAACTTTGAAAGAGATGGTGGGTAGTTCTCTGTAGGCAAATTATTATTTTTTTTTTCAAACCGTCGTAACTAAATTTTTAAAATCATTTGGGTACCCTAAAATACATATTATTTTATTTTTGTTTTTTTTTTTACTCTAATTATATGACGTGAATCTGTGCTGCTTTCTGTAAGGTTAACGTAGTTATTCCTTTAATTCGAAAGGACCATAGCTCGACTCCAGAGTGGACGACACTTTAATTAGTAAATGGTTAATATATTTAAACCACAATAGTTTCAATTCCCTTACCTTTTCATCAATCCCTATTTGATTTGCCCTCTTTCATACTTCGACTTTGTACCAACAAAACCTTATTCGCAGCAGCGTTGTAACGTTTATGTAATGTTTCAATAATTTTGCCTTGTTAAGATATTTAAGGATTTTGCTTTAGTTTTTGAAAATGAAACAGAGTACTTCATCAAAAATAATTACTTTCAATAAATTTCAAGTATTGCCCGAAATTTGGAATATAGTAGCACAGTTCGTTCACCCTGCAATACAAGTCAGGTTACAAAATGCTTCATATTAAACAATATTGATATGACGAAAATTGTTGTACGCTGATAATGGCCTAGTCCCGTAGAGCACCATCCACCAACCAGTTTCGCAGTTGAAAGAGAAGGAGGGCTTGGGAGGCTAAAGCTCCCCAGGCAACAATTTGAATACAGAGTAGATTTAAGCCAAAAATAAAAATATGAGATAACCATTTAACCACTAATAAAAAACTTTTAAATAAAATAACAGAAGGTAAAAGTACTTCTAAAAGAGTTTAATAGAGACTCCCTGCTGTGTATATATGCCAAATATCGCGTAAAAATCGATCTAAATCAATTGATCGGCTTTCTTACATCTCGAGTTGTCTATGCAAAAAACGCAAGGACGCAATGTTGCTAATCAAGTGTAAACAGCGTTTTACCTGCGGCAACAGCCGGGGTAATACTAATAAGTTCATGGTCACATTGCCTTTTAAACGTTATATTCAAACTTTATTGTTTGGTTTATTACCGCTAATTAGAACGCTTTAAAGTTTCCAGTTACCTTTAAATGGTCAAAAAAAAATGTCTCAAATGTCTCTGGGCCTGGGCACCAGCGAGGAAAGTGCCAGTGAGGATTTCGATAAAGAGTCGAAGACAAAAGTTTATCTTAATATTAAGAAGAATTCGGTGGATGTAAAAAAAAAAGACTTGTGCAAGACCCGGCAGTCTGACTGCATTAAGAACTACCGCTTGACTACGGATAAAGATACGCTGCCGTCTGACGAGGAGACTGAAAAATCGCGTTCGGAAACTCTGTGGGCTGATTTCCTTAGCGACGTTGGTTCTGAGAGTCAAAACAACCAGGAAACCGTTCAAAAGCCAAACATCGCGGTGGATAAAAATGCCGGAATATGTCTTAAAAATCTGATGGATGTACAAAAAACTATAAACTTTACCATTGCAAAGAAAAATAGTTCTTTACCTGGTTCAAAATCAAGGCCCGAGGCATTAAAACGACCGTTACATGAGAGTGGTGCCGGCTCTCTTATAGCTAAACTGAAAAAAAAAGAAAATTCCCAGTGCTGGAAAAGTCTCAAATGGATTGGAAAAACTTTAAAAGAGACGAAGGCATAGACGAGAAGTTGCGTACACATAACAAAGGCAAAGACGGGTAAGTTCTTGCGTTCGTTTAGTTTAACATAAAATGACTTTTGCCATGTTTTAGATATTTGGAGCGTCAGGAATTTTTGCAGAGAACAGATTTCCGCCAGTTTGAAATTGAGAAGAACTTGCGGCAATCTCGTCGGCCAACTTGATACAAAAATGAATTGTGAAGCCATCTTCTTTAAATTAACTCAATCCCCTTATGGTTTAAGTTTGGTATTTAATAATAATTATAATTATTTAATTAAAACTTATTTTAGTCGCAGCAGCAAGGATAGCTGATATGCGTAGATGGAAGGTGGATGTGATCTGTGGAAATCAGAGTTTCATATTGGTCAATATTTCCAATCGTTTCCAACGGATGGACTGGGTGGAAAGAGGGCATAGAGAGGTTTTGTTCCTCGTTGCCAACATAATTCCTAAATCAAGGGCTAGTTACACTTGGGCTGCTTCATTGCGTCTGTGGCTAGATGCAGTATTTTTACATAGGTTTTGTAAAGGCAGATAGAGATAAGGAAAAAGTGTGTAGAGTGCATAAGTTTTAAAATTTTTGTTTTTTACCGATGTTTACTCGATATTAGGTATATCCAAATACTGTCGTGGGGAAATGTCACCACAAATGAACGAAAACTACAGCAAAAATAGCCAGTAATAAAAAGAGGGAGCATTTTCCTTGATAAATCAAAATAAAGAAATGCTTTTCAGATGCAATGACGCACGTAGGTCAAGTGTAACATCTGTGATGGCCCACCGCAAAATCAATATCAAACAAAAACCAGAAACAAAGCCATATATAGAATTGTCTTTTATTTCGAAAGCTCGCATAACATCGCGGTGGATAAAAATGCCGGAATATGTCTTAAAAATCTGATGGATGTACAAAAAACTAAAAACTTTACCATTGCAAAGAAAAATAGTTCTTTACCTGGTACAAAATCAAGGCTCGAGGCATTGAAACGACCGTTACATCAGAGTGGTGCCGGCTCTCTTATAGCTAAACTGGAAAAAAAAGAAAATTGGAGCTCCTCCCAGAAATCACTTTTGCGACTCCCGACCGTAACCGGCAGGTCGAAATTAACGATGCCCGGAAGGTCGAAACTAGCGATTCCCTACCCACCCGAGTCCCACCGAAAATCCAAGTAGATCGTCCATCTCAACGGCCCAGAACACTGCATACCCAACGTACTCGACCGATGGACGCAAGCACTACACTACTCGGTCCTTCCTTGGCGCCGACGCGTCGAATCAAGCAGTAAACAACTTGGCGCCCGCACGACGAAGCAAGCAGTACTCCGCTTGGACCTCCCGCAGCACGGACGCGACGAAACAAGCAGTACGTGGCTCGGCCCGTCCGCAGCCCCGACGCCGCAGTAGCGCCCAATCATCGAAATTACCGATTATAAATGAGTTTTATCCAACCGTAGTACATATAATCATATTTTAAAGTGATCTTTCCCTGTACCATTATTTGGGACTACCTTCCTGTCCCGATCTATAGATGAAATAAATTTCTGTCTTGACCCTGTCTACGGCGAGCTTTACCGCCTGCCGCAACAGGGTCGTTACGCAGCCTATTCTGCTTCATTGCGTCTATTCCGATATAGATAAGAGACGTGCGTGAGTATAACTAGGCTACAAGTTGTCAAAAATTCAACTTCAGAAGGCATTTACGTTTCACAAAAAAGCCAAACTCAAGGAATAGTCCCACAGAGCATCATCCACCATCTCTTTCAGAGTTGGTCCGTAAGGTTTTGCCGTGCCAAAAATTAGACAGTTATTCCTTGACCGTGGAATTAACGTTCCTAACAGCACGTTTCTACGCCACTTTGACTTCTAATGGATGGTGGCTCTGTCGGAACACCAGTCCACCATACATAAAAAATCCCAACCGTTTCGCTCGGATGGGCTGTGTATATATGCCAAATATCGAGTAAAAATCGATCTAAATCAATTGATCGGCTTTCTTACATCTCGAGTTGTCTATGCAAAAAACGCAAGGACGCAATGTCGCTAATCAAGTGTAAACAGCGTCTTACCTGCGGCAACAGCCCGGGTAATACTAATAAGTTCATGGTCACATTGCCTTTTAACGTTATATTCAAACTTTATTGCTTGGTTTATTACCGCTAATAAGAACGTTTTAAAGTTTCCAGTTACCTTCAAATGGTCAAAAAAAATGTCTCATACATTAAGCCTCGCATTTTTATTCCGTTTTGTCGTCAACTCCAATGAATGAGCAAAATTTTACTTTTTAAGTACAATTTTGCTCCTTGATGTATCGACCCCGGTGGTATTTTATCGAATGTTAATTTTGTTACGCAATTTCGTTTAATATCTTACTATCGGGTCGCACTTACGTAAAATCTTATAGGTAAACAAATAAATGAGCAATGCATGAGGTCAACAATGTAGAGTCATAAGCCCATAAGTGAATGAATCGCTGAATTTCTGAAATTCATTCAGCTTTTGGGTTGTTTCCTCAGTTGCTGAAAAATTTCAGGTAAGTTCTCAGCAATTCAGTCTGTTAGGAAATATTCTATACATTTTCACTGATGCGGTTTTAAGCGACTGTGTGTAAAGGGTATATGGTTGTTAACTGTGCCTGCGTAATTCCGATATTATAAATTTGTGATAGCGCGGATATGGTATATCACATATTTCAAGCTATGGTCACACTAGTTTCAGCTATTAGCTATTAAACAAAGGAACTCACAATGAATATAGAATTTGATCACGATTCTGACTGCGAAAGCGACAAAGATTTTTGCCTTGATGGCGAGAATCTGGGCCTGGGCACCAGCGAGGAAAGTGTCAGTGAGGATTCCGATAAAGAGTCGAAGACAAATGTTTATCTTAATATTAAGAAGAATTCGGTGGATGTAAAAAAAAAAGACTTGTGCAGGACCCGGCAGTCTGACTGCATTAAGAACTACCGCTTGACTACGGATAAAGATACGCTGCCGTCTGACGAGGAGACTGAAAAATCGCGTTCGGAAACTCTGTGGGCTGATTTCCTTAGCGACGTTGGTTCTGAGAGTCAAAACAACCAGGAAACCGTTCATAAGCCAAACATCGCGGTGGATAAAAATGCCGGAATATGTCTTAAAAATCTGATGGATGTACAAAAAACTAAAAACTTTACCATTGCAAAGAAAAATAGTTCTTTACCTGGTTCAAAATCAAGGCTCGAGGCATTGAAACGACCGTTACATCAGAGTGGTGCCGGCTCTCTTATAGATAAACTGGAAAAAAAAAGAAAATTCTCAGTGCTGGAAAAGTCTCAAATGGATTGGAAAAACTTTAAAAGAGACGAAGGCATAGACGAGCAGTTGCGTACACATAACAAAGGCAAAGACGGGTAAGTTCTTGCGTTCGTTTAGTTTAACATAAAATGACTTTTGCCATGTTCTAGATATTTGGAGCGTCAGGAATTTTTGCAGAGAACAGATTTTCGTCAGTTTGAAATTGAGAAGAAATTGCGGCAATCCCGTCGGCCAAATTGATACAAAAATGAATTGTGCAGCCATCTTCTTTATATTAACTCATTCCCCTTATGGTTTAAATTTGGTATTTAATAATAATTATAATTATTTAATTAAAACTTATTTTAGTCACAGCAGCAAGGATATATCAACTTCGGCTTGCAGAAAATTCCTTTATATTTTGTTTTTGGAGTGACTTTGGATTGCAACAAAAATATTAGTATTTGTAGTGTTTCTGCCCAAGTCATACATTTCCCAATCCTTAAATTTGCTTACATGCCTTTCCCTTTGTGTCCTTTACTATAACAGCTACTTGTATTATATGTATAAAAAGTGTGACAAAGATAAGAAGAATCATTTTTTCTTCTTGACGAGAAGAAAAAAAAATTTAAATTTATCCACGCCCACTATAATGCTCGCAAATCGCGAAACTGTAAAGCAGGGGTACACAAACATTGCTTGTGGTAGAGAAATCTCCAATACAAATGCAATGAAACACAAATGGATTGGTACAAAGGTTTTTTTTTAATTTAAAGTCGTTACACATTTTTAAAGGGGAGAAAAAAAATTAAGAATAAAATTAAATGCTTATCCAAATTAAATTTTATAGTCACACTTATTATTGTATGAACAAAGAAAATTTTCTGTAAAAAATAATTTCATCGCTGGCCAATCTTCCAGCACCGAAGACAAAAATTCCACGAGACATTTCTACTTTTAATGAGTATTTGGTGTTTTTGAGTATTTCATACAAACATATACTCTATTTTCTAAAGGCTCTGGGGTAAAGCTAAAAATACGAAAATCCGATGATTGGAGATAAATATAATTGAAAAACACATACACAGACCAATAGCTACGGTCTAACTTTGTCTCAAAGTGACGTGACAATCTTTTGCCATTTGTGGGAGTTAGAGTGGTCGTGGCTCCGTTTTAAAATAAACTTGAAATAAAATGACTCGAATCTGCATCCCAAATCTCTAGCTTTTATAGTTTCATTCGGACGGACTGACAAACATATGGCTAGATCGACTCGGCTATTGATCCTGATCAAGTATATATTTAACTCGCTTGGTTATTTATTGACAAGAAATCTGTTTGTAAAGTTAACTTAGCAAAGGCCTACTACAATGTACACTATAATCAATGAGGAACAGGATCGAGGGCTAGGTTTTAGCGTAGAAGTAGTTGGCCAGTGGGTAGTGAATGTTCCGGGCAATCAGTGTGCACATCACCTGGAAACCCATCAGCATCTGCGTAACCACTCGCTCATGGACCGGTCCGAAAACGACCAGCACAAAGTTGATAAGGGTGATGTTATTGGTCCTGACGACTAGATATACTTTATAGGGTCGGAAACGCTTCCTTCTACCTGTTACATTCGTTTCAACAAATACAATATACTTTTTTACTCTAAGAGTAACGGTCGAATCATGTAAGTGTGTCCGTGTGGACCACACTTTCCTTACAAGACCAAGGGGTCTTTTGAACAGATTTCAAACCACGAAAACCCAAAAACCAACAGAAATCGAATAGGTCTTTAGTATATTATATGTAATAAGGCTATCTGAAAGAATAATGAAATCGGACTGCTACGAAATAATTATAATTTCCCACAAGCCGACTAACATTTTCAAACATATACATAATAAAACTAAATCAGAAATAGAACCAATGGACAAAAGCAATTAAGTTAATAAAATCCCATACAACGGAAAGGACCAAAAAACATGTAATACAAGAAATCAGAACATAAATCTGACTTCAAGTGAAGACATCAAATCTTTTCCCAAAAACAGGCCCACTGTTGGGAGAGCGGCCACACACTAAATTTTCACGAGACAACAATTTTGCAACAAGAACAACAGTACAGAAAGCGATTTACATTAGAAATCTTACACATTATAGACACACAGACTTACATTAGATTTAACAAGGGAGAACGCAATAGTCGAGTTTCCAAACTATTAAGTACCCGTTACTCAGCCAACAACTTCAAACTAAGTATTCCCACTACAAAACAATCGAAGTTTAGGTGGCGCCACCCAACGCTCATGAAATGCAAAGCTTTTTTTATGGTTAGAATTAACCTATTTATTTCAAATAAGCACCATTTTTATATACAATCCGTATTTTGGCGAGACGCTTTTGACGTGTGTGGTCTGGCGTTGTCCTGATGAAAAACAATTCCTTTCCTTTTGGCCAAAGCGAAGCGCTTCTGGGCAATTGCTTCCTTCAAACGGTCCAATTGTTGACATTAAATTTAGTGATCATTTGAACTTCATCGAAACCACTGCCTTTCGTCGTCGCATTTTCGCACAAGTTTTACACAAGTTATTATCTCAAATAAATTATACGAATCCTACTGCAGCCACACAAGTTTCGCTTTCGTTAATACAAACTAGTATTTTATTCGGTGAAAAACTAGAACAATTACCAACAAACACACAAAAGCAAATTATTTGTGTCGGTTCGGCTTACAAATTAACAAGTTTAATCTTCCGAAATAAATTTCGTCGTTGGAACTTTTCTGCCGTTCCTTTGGTTGTTGCTCAAGACGTGTCTTCCGCCGCTGCAACTTAATTGTTTAATTTGCTGCTGCCGCTGGAACATGGATGTAAAAAGGAAGTTGCAATTGTCGAGTCGCCCAACCAGGTATAGAGTGCTAAAACTTGAAAGTTAATCAGCGGGGTTTTGTTAATTGTGTTTTGGCCCATCTTTCAACTTGCATCGTGAAAAATCGGTAGATAGTGAGCATTCTAACCAAGAAATCAAATTTATATGTACTAACAACCAAAATTCTGCATTAAACATAATATATTTCGAATTAAATCGCTTTGGCCTATAAACAAGCAAAATAAAATACTCGTCGTCGACCCAATTAGTGCTAACTTAATTCCCCCAATTTTCGTCGTAGTGAGCACCAATTTAGCGTATAAATAAAACAGCTGGAAAAAATGTACAAATTGTGCAAAGTTAAGTTCTCAAAAATTAGCGGCAAAAACTTTAGCCACAGTTTGTCTGCACATTTTCTCGCGCTTTTCAGAATTTTCCCGCGCTTTTTAGTAATTTCCCCGCGCTCTTCATAATTTTTGAGGGCCTTTTGGCATCAGGCTTATATATTCGTTGCCCTTAGTTATCGGTCAGTGTATCATTCTTCGTTAGCATTTGCCTAGAAAGAGCCGCTAGCCGCGTACACATACGCACGCACACCGACACCGCTGCCGCTATTTAGAGCTATCTTTGGAGGTTTTCGTTCTCGATCGCTGCAGCAGTGCAATTTTCGGTGTACTTAAACGTTTGTTTGTTTTTTCGGTATGCTTGAGCTTGAGCGTTAGGTCCCCTGCAGTGCGTGCGTGCGGCATATTACTGTCGCAGGACTTATATAAAAAATATAAAAACCCTATTTAAAATTTTTTTGGTTGTACTTCTCTCGGCAAGATCTCGGTGGGGAGAATTGGTGGCCTGGCAGATCAATCAATCGGGGTAACAGGGCGAATCGTCAGACTTTCCCTGAGTGAGAGAATTTCTCCAATTAGGTGGAGAGATAGGTTGCCGCCTTTATAGCGCCGTCACTAGCCGCCATTCCTAATTGGGCATCCAAAGTGGTCAGTTGAGTCAAAAGTGGTGGTTAAAATCAAGGAAAAGAAGTGAAATAACAATAAGCAAAGGTGACCAACAGCCGCACAGGTGTCACGGCAAAGGAGCCCAGAAGGAAGATCCCAGGAGGATTCCGGCAAAGTTTAGGGGTGAGTGAAAAGCGAATGAGGTCTTTTAGATTTCTAAGGGGGCTCATCTTATTGCATAGGTGTTGGCCAAAAGGTGCCGCCCCAAGTCCCAGAACGCAACCCGTGAAGTCGGCGAAGGCAGGCACCAGTATTTTTTGCAGTGCGGTGAAGCCACCACAGTGCAAAAGCCACCAGAGATCGCCGCTCCAAAAAGGAGAAGGAGAAGACCACGGACGGACGGCCGACAGAAACATAAAAGAAACCGGCGGTCAAGTCAGTGTCCGGCGGGAGAGCAAGCGTTTCGCAGAAGTAGTCGGTGGCGTTGAGAGTTTCGTCGTACTAAGAAAAAAGGCATAATAATTTGCCCGTAGTGAGATCTTCAGCCCGACTTAAAAAAGTTAAGCAGCAAAAAGCTGCAGCAATGTGCAGCTTAATTTAGTCTACGTTTTTTTTTATTCTAATAATTTTCGGTATAGTTGGTTTTGGCGACCTTTCCAAAGTACATTAATTGTTAGCCGGTTCGAGGTCAGGACGTTGAAAAAAAAACACAAAATTATTTCAATTCGTAATTCGTCAATATATTTCGGTTGCTCTTCGGCAACCGTCTTCAGGACAACTATAAAATAATAACAACGATTTTAATATTTTTAACAAACAGAAATACAAAACAATTTACATTTGACCTACATTTAATTTACACGTCTGCGTCCGGTGACGTGGAGTTGTTAACTAATTTTTCTTTCCCTAGTAAGTCTTTATAAATGAGCGCAATTGTCAGTGTCCGTTTTGTAGTTCATCCGTATGTCTGTAGGTGTTTTTATGATATGTAGCATTTCTATGGTGAATCGTTTGGCATAGTGTTGTTCTTGTGATAAAATACTCGCGTCTTCGAAGTTCGGTGAGTGATTACTCTTGGCACAGTTGGACATGAGTGCTGTTTTTTGCGTGTTCGTATGATGTCTAGCTTTGAAGTCCGATTTATGTTGTGCTAGTCCAGTTTTAAGTTTAGATTTTGTTGTTCCTATATACATCATGTTGCATGTTTCGTTGTTGTTGCCGTTGCACGGTATTTTATATATTACGTCTTTTTTGTCAATTTCATTTATGTTTGATTTTGTTCTGTTGTATATAGATTTTAATGTGTGATCCGGTTTATGTGCGATACTTATGTTTTCTTTGTCGTAGCATTCCGATTTCGCTACACGTTCGGATAATGCCGGGACGTATGTAATTGACATATATTTTTTGTTTTTCTTGTTTTTAACGTTCTTTTGTTTTCTTGTTTTGTGTTCCGATAATAATGTTTTTATTATGTGTTTTGGGAAATCATTGTCTGTCAACATTGATTTTATCTCCTGGGTCGTCTCTTCGTGGTAATCCGTGTCTGAAATTTTGAGCATTCTATGTATACAGCTCCTAGCTGTATTTATTATCATTTGTTTTGGGTGTTTGGAGTTGAAATTGATGATTCGTCCGGACGCAATTGGTTTCTTGTACCATTTTAATTTTAATCGATTTCCACGTCTAATTATCACTGAGTCCAAATAAGGTAATTGGTCGTTTTCTTCTAGTTCCATTGTAAATTTTATATTATTGGTGAAAGAGTTGAGCATGGTCAGTGTAGTTTTAATGTCACCCTCTTGAATGATTGCGAACAGGTCATCTACGTATTTTGTCAGTAATCTTGGAGGTCGTCTTATTTTTTCTAACGTGTTGTCTAGGAGTTGTATCTGCAATGACCGGCGAGGCTGGCGATCCCATAGGCATTCCTTTTAATTGTGTGTACAAAGTGTTTTCAAATTTGAAATATCTGTTTTCTTGCATACAAAATTTTATTATGTCCAAAAATATTGTTTGCGGTATTTTACTGTGTTTTTGTATTATTGTCCATTTGTTTTTAATTATATCCAGTGCTAGATCTGTCGGTATACTCGGACATAATGAAATTACGTCAAATGAAATTAATCTTTCATCGTCGCCAATATATGTGTTGTTGATTTTGTCTTTGAATTCTTCTGAATTTTTTATGTTGTATTTGGAGTCTATTGTTATGTTTTTTAATATGTCAATAATGTATTTGCATAGTGCATAGGATGCTGATCCGATGGAGGAGCAGATTGGTCGTAGAGGGGTTCCTTCTTTATGAATTTTGGGTAGTCCATATATTCGTGGTGGTAAAGCTGTGGTGGTTGTCAACTTATTTCTTTCGATCCTTGAGATAAATTCCATT